AACAGACAGATCTGTATTGTGGAAGATGCTGCTGTAGGTTGCTAATGCAAACAGTTTAGGTTACAAAATAGCAAAAATTAAAATAAATAGCAGTGACTGCCACAGGGGAAATGCCCGAGTTGGTGTCTTCTGGTGTATTCCTCTGTGGTAATTGACCTAACCAAAAATTACCACCAGAAAACAATTTTTTATATAAAACGGTGGATTTAACTATTGCTGTCCTTAATTTTTGTACGTTCTTTTATGACAGTTGCATATGGGCTCAGGCTCATATATGACTGCATTTAAAAATATTGATTGCTTTACATTAACATCTCCCACATCATACACTGGCATATCTACAGATACCTTGATTGTACTAAAGTATTGAAAGGCAGATGAAAATTGTAGCTTGAAGGAAAAATCCTTGATTGAATCCTTGACATTCAGGCGATAAGGAAATATTACTGCAACTATTATCCTTCCCTCCCTCCCCAGCTGAAGCATCTAATCCTGGTCCATACCACAGACACCATATTGCTTTTATCATTTATTCTTCTGCTCAAGTAGGGACACAAATGTTGTTCAAGGGTCAGACAGAAATCTGATTAGCTGGTAACAAGATTTGTGAGCAGAATGCTCGCACTTCACTCTGGAAATATGGTCCATCTTGGCTGGCAGCTCTGTGCTACAATCTATATGTAATCTTTCAGTATGCTAATGTTATTACAAACCTGTCACTCAGTAAGGTGAACATGACTAGCATATTGCTTAATTGACTTAAACAAGCCAACTCACTTCAGGAGTTGCTCCCTGTTTCTGGTAAAGGACTCATCTCACATGAGCATTAGCCAGATTGTCAGTCATGCTTTCCTAAATATTGGTTCAAAGAACTGCACCTTGGAGCTTCTGGGTTTGGTTTGTGGCTCTGCCAGTGACATTGGCCGTGGACAGGTTTTTCTTCCTGTCTTGTAGCTGTCGTTTTCCTGTTCGTCATGTCGAGGCTTAATGTTTGTGAAGCAGTAGAAAATCCTTTGGAAAGCAGTGCACAAAAGCCCAGTACTATTTATACAAAAATACTCTTTTTATCATGGTTACTAACAACTAGTGAGTGATATAATTTGTCCAAGTGTGTAAACAAGACTTTTCTATTTTTGTAGCGATATGCGGAACAATGAGATCTCATGGGCCATAGAAGATGCCAGTGAAGCCTTTGCAGGTCTCAACAAGCTCAGTAAATTGTACGTATTATAAGCCATAGAAATGACTGTTATGTCAAAGCATTCAGAATAAAAAAAGCCAGAAGTATTAACTGGCAACTAGTTTGAGTTCAAACGCGGAACAAGACAAAAAGTCTTTCCAATCAACGATGCTTATATATAGTTGTCCCTCTGTGTGCTAGACGTTACTCAGTGCAGGCAGCAGGTCACGTACAGCCAGGATGCGCAATGCAGTTCATAGAATCCAATACAGAATAACTCTAGAAGAAACCTAAGGTTGGAGCTATAGTGCCGTAAGTTATGCAGGTGTAAACTGTTAATTTTTGTCCTGGGATAGCCACTTCCTCAAGGTAGATGGGCTCTTAGCAGATTTTTTGCTGTCTTAAGATGTCAGAAGTGCCAAATTATGTCACACCAGTAGTCCATCTAACCCAGTATCCTCTGGCAGTGGCAGGAGTGGCTCTTTTAGAAGGAAAGCATCTGAACAGGATATACCTGAAGTGATCTATCCCTTGTCATACCGTCCTTGGCTTCCAGCATCTAGTGATGAGATGCTGCATTAGTGCTTGTTTTGGTAGTTTCTACTCTGGGAGGGCTTTTTGATTTATCTGCTCCCAACACTGATAAGCTGTATGGGTGTATGCATGACCACTGTGTGGGTAGTTGGCGCTAGTGTATGCCCAGGTCCTTGGACCAGGCTAGGAAATCAGCTGCTTGTTTACCAGTTCTATTTAGAAGTAGATCTCCCCTGAGCTTCTGTCAAACATGTGGGAAGTGCCTGCAAATGTAGAACAAAACCATTTCCAGTACCGTTTCAGAAAAGAGGCTTGAGACCTGAAGTCTGTTGTGCTTTCTAAAATTGCTCCGTTGGCTATATTGATGTCTAAAACTGCTCTCAGTAGCATTTTACTGAAAGCTTTGCCGAGAGAGATTGCCAGCCAGTGGTTCAGCTGTTCGCATGGAGAGAACTAAAGGTCCATGGCATTTTAGTCTCCCAGAAAGAAACAACTTAGTTCTGATGTCTAATATATGTAATAGCCTGAAAGCTTGCATGGTTGCGGTAGTTTGTGTAGGCTAAGAGCTTCTGCCTCTGCAGCCATAGAACTTCCTGGAATTCTCCTTTTTCTTGTGCCATGGGTGGAACTTGAGTTTGGTAGTGGCCATTGATTAACTTTCATCAGTCTTGTCAGAATATTAGATTTCACTTTAAAATCTTTTGGGGGAAGGCGGTTGCTATCCAGGTCAGGAAAGACCTTCCGGTAGGTACGTACAGTGGGCAATGCTGTTCTATGGAGCTGTAGTACTTAGCCTGTCAAATTCTTACACAAACACTTGGGCCTCAATTTGCCAATTAATAAGGTGCTGTGTATGACTGCGAGTTTCCTATTCTATTGGACTATCGGACATTACAAGGAACTTGTATTCTTGAACTAATATTGACTTTCAGGTTCTCTTTCTGTGGGGGTTTTCTTTCAGAATCCTACAAGGAAACCAGATTAAGTCCATCATAAAGAAAGCATTCTCTGGCCTGGAAGCACTTGAACATCTGTAAGTATTTTGCCTTGCAGTTCTTGCAG